TTTCTGGTGTTTCAAAATGGTGCTCCCGCTGCAGCGTGGGCCACATTTTCGCATCGGCGCGCTGCTCCCGTCGTTCAGACTCGCACTCGCGCCTCAGCGCGGGCCACTCTCCTGGATCCTTGCTCCGTGGTGGTTCCCCCCATCATTTCCTCTCCTCCGCCTTCCCTGGGTCCTCCTGTTCCTCCTGCTCCTTCCACTCCAGTTCCTGCTGCTGCTGTTCGTCTCGCCCCAGCGCGGGCCACTTTTCGGAATCAGAGCCTTTCCTCGTTGTCGCCCCCTGGTCCTCCTTTCCCTCCTGATCCTTCCGCAAGAGTTCCTGCTGCTGCTGTTCGTCCTCATCCTTTTTCTCCCGCTCATTCTCCTGTTCACCCGCCACCTCCTCCTCCTGTGCACGCAGGTCCCCCTTTTCCGATTGCGCATAACACGAAATGGTGTTTCTGTGTGAGTTGCAGGTCTGCGATGACATGTGTCCGCGGATATAGAAAACTCAGCGCCATGGGAAGAGATGGGAGGGATGGTAAGGACGTCAGATGAGGTGCGAGCGCACCTAGCTTGATATGAAAATTACTCCCCTCTCTCCCCCGAAGATGGCCGGGGAGTCACCCGCGTCCCCCCCGCGTATTGTTTTCTACGCAGGTTTTTTGTTTCACGCGGTCCGGTCGTGTTCGGTTCTGCCGCAGCGTGGGCCTCATCTCAGGATCAGCGATCTGCTCCCATCGTACAGAGCTGCACTCTGGTGAACTCCAGATCCAATGTGACACGCGTCGGCAGATAGAGGAACTATCAGTGCCATGGGAAGGGATGGGTGGGAGGGGCAGGATGTTAGGAATGGCGCGGGCGCGCCCGGCCTGCCTGACATCCCCCTCTTCGTCCTGCCTCCCTCCTCCCCCCCGGTCTCCTGCTGCCCCCCTGCCGCTGCCCCCGATCGCCCCCGAGCGTAGCTCGCGGGGAAAGGATTCTGGGAAGGCCAGATCCTTCAAGCCTTGGCCGGACTCTCGGTGGTTCGCCGCGTGCGGCCGGCTCTCCCCCCACACATGTGGGCGGGGCCAGGGCCAGGGCAGATCGCTCCCGAGCGTTCCGGGAGCGACCTCAGGGCGTTCCGGGACGCTCCGGGACGGCCTCGGCGCCCGATGCAGGAGCTGCCGGGTCTCAGCGATCCCCGATGGAGCCCCGTCCGATTTTCTCCCTGCCCTGGCCTCGTCTTAGAACGGGCTCGAGGCGGGTCTGAGTCCGCCCGCCCCCTCATGCTGATGCCATCGGCCCCCCCCCCCGCGCGATGGCCCCCCCCCCCTTGTGGGGGTGGTGTGGTGCTGTGGGTGTGGCTTGTGTGGCGTGGTACAGTGGTGCTCCAGAGGTCGTCGTCGTCGCCGCTGCCGCCGTCGTCGTCGTCGTAGGGCTCCTCCGCCGCCGCCGTCGCCGTCGTCGTCGTCGTCGTCGTTGTCGTCGTCGTCGTCGCCGTCGTCGTCGTCGCCGTCGCCGTCGTCGTCGTTGTCGTCGTTGTCGTCGCCGTCGCTGTCCTCGTCGTCGTCGTCGTCGTCGTCGTCGTCGTCGTCGTCGTCGTCGCCGTTGCCGTCGTCGTCGTCGTCGTCGTCGCCGTCGTCGTCGTCGTCGTCGTCGTCGTCGTCGCTTTCGTCGTCGTCGTCGTTGCCGTCGCCGTTGTCGTCGTCGTCGTCGCCGTCGTCGTCGCCGCCGTCGTCGTTGTCGTCTTCGTCGTCGCCGCCGTCGTCGTCATCATCGTCGTCGTCGTCGTCGTCATCGTTGTCGTCGTCGCCGTCGTTGTCGTCGTCGTCGTCGTCGCCGCCGTCGTCGTCATCATCGTCGTCGTCGTCGTTGTCGGTACCCCCATCCCATCGAGGGGGGGGGGTCCGACGGACCCTGAGACCCATTCCATCTGGAGGGGGTGGTGGGGCCGTGGGCCCAGAGCCCAGGATCATATATCAAGCATCGGCCTTCGCTCGCACGACGCTCCTCCTGGTGGCCCAAGGTCCTGGCAAGGGTGGTACTGTCGGTCCGTGGGTAGTTTTTGTGTCGCTTTGCTTCTGGGGGGACAATCCCACACATGCTCGCGTCGTGAAAAAGTTGCGAACGAAGGTTTTTGGCAGTTTTCGGCCTCTGGGGCCCCTCGCAGGGCCCCAGGACTGTCAACAAAACGGCTCGGGATGAAAAACCGGCCCTGGGAAGGGTCGGGACTTCCGGGGACCTCGTATAAAACAAGTCTACACATTGTTCATGTCTAATTCTTCGAATGTTCTTTGATTTTTTGGGGGCCAAGATCCTCTCATTTCTAATTGTTCTACCCTGGGCCTCTTCCTGGCCACCGGGGGGCCAGGAACAGTTAGAAACGAGCACAATTGGAAACGAGCACGATTAGAAATCGACGACGTGTAGACATCGGACGTCTGGCCGCCATGGCGGCTTGCGGCCAAGGCGCTGCCGTAGGGACCACCTTGGGGTCCAGGACGGGGCTCCGATTTTGGGGCTGTTCCTTTTTGACTTCGGTCGGGGGGCCTAGTCGTGGCCGAGGCTCGCCTGAAGGCGGGCGTGTCCCTCTACAGGAGGAATTTTCGAAAACAGTCAAACAAGAAAGAAAAACTGATTTTTCATATCAAAACACAATATGGGTTTCGTCCGAAATCCGCCTGTGGGAGGACATGCCCGACTGAAGGCTCGCCGTGGCCAGGAGAGCCCCTTTTTTCCCGTCCGCTTTCCACATGCTGGCACGGTGGCTGTCAGGCGGCGTCCGGTGGCGCCAGAACGAATCGTTTTTCAGCCCAAGCATTGATAGCAGACTGATCTCAGGCGTCTAGATACATTTCACTATTACCCCTGATGATTCCCTTCCCATTGCTGTGCTGAACAGCTCTGTAGCTCATCTGCAGCACGAGTAAAACCAAGAAAAGCAGGCGTTGTGCTAGGTGTGCAGTCGGTGTCAACGTTTACAGAAGCCTCAAGGATGGAGGGCGGGTCCTTTTGTTAGAACTGTGGCTGTCGGTGTGGCGCCGCGCACATGCGTCTTAACAGCTTGCAGCAGCTTCAAGGATTGAGGGCGGCTACTTTTCAAAATGTTGCTCTCGCTTCGGCGCCGCGCGAATTCGTCATAACAGTTTGCAGCAGCCCCATGGAGTCGTAGGGTTGAAACCCCATGAATGGTTTTCTATCACGGTTCAGAATTGTCAGGACTTAGCAGTCACGTTGATTCGCGGTCTTGAAATCCCATGAACGGTGTTCTTGTACGAATCAGGACTGTCAAGGCGCAACAATCATGTTGATTCGTGGCGTTGACGTCCCATAAAGGGTGTGTTGGCCAGGTTCAGGATTCGCAGACTGTTGTCTTTCCATGGGGCACCCCCCGCAATAGAAATACATTCTTGTCGGGAACTATGTGGAAGGAATTCTTTACGCTTCGCGTATCCCCACCAGCCCATCTCAAAACAGCAACTCTTGCGAAGCATGCCGGCAGTCGTGTTTTTCAGGCGTGTTTCCGCCTGCCCCCGCATATCTCACCTGTTCCTCCTTCCTCCCGCCTCCTTGTACATCCTCCTTGTGGTGGGAGCGGGAGAAGGACGAGGCGGAGGAGGAGGGAGAAAAAGCGCTCCTCGTGGTTTGAGTCGTTTGGGGTTTCTCGTCCTGGTGTGAGTCGTTCGGGCCCTTCTTCCTGGTGTGAGTCGTTCGGGCTCTTCGTGGTGTGAGTCGTTCGGGCTCTTCGTCCTGGTGTGAGTCGTTCGGGCTTCTCGTGGTGTGAGTTGTTCGGGCCCCTCGTCCTGGTGTGAGTCGTTCGGGCCCCTCCTCCTGGTGTGACTCGTTCGGGCTCGTTCGTCGGTGTGAGTCGTTCGGGGCCCGCGTCGTGGTGTGAGTCGTTCGGGCGCGTTCTCGTCCTGGTGTGAGTCGTTCGGGCCCCTCCTTGTGGTGTGAGTCGTTCGGGCTCTTCGTGGTGTGAGTCGTTCGGGCCCCTCGTCCTGGTGTGCGTCGTTCGGGCTCCTCGTGGGGCCTCTTGGGGGCCTCTTGGAGCCTCTTGGGGCCTCTTGGGGGCCTCTTGGGGACCTCTTGGGAGCCTCTTAGGGCCCTCGTGGGGCCTCTTGAGGCCTCTTGGGGGCCTCTTGGGGGCCTCTTGGGGGCCTCTTGGGGCCGCTTGGGGGCCTCTGGGGGGCCTCTTGGAGGCCTCTTGGGAGCCTCCTGGGGGCCTCTTGGGGCCATCTGGGGGCCTCGTGCGACCTCCTCAGAAGCGCAATTGAGGGCTGCCCCCTGAGAAGGACAAAATGAGCCCAAAACCTTCGTAAAATCAATGATTTTGCTAGGAAGGACGCTGAGCGCTGCCCCCTCAGAAGGCCAAAATGGGGCCAAAACCCTAGTAAAATCAACGATTTTGGCTTCCAAGAAGAGCAGAGGGGCCAAACTGTATCCCCCCGACGGGGCCAGAATCCTCGTGAGGGTCGTCGTTTTTTGGCCCTCCCAGGAGTCAAAACAGACCCCCCTGACTACGCCCCGGACTCCCTGTCCAGGTCCAGGGGGAGGGGGTAGGGGGAGGGGTAAACCCCTCCCCGAAGAAGGGGAAGAAGGGGGGTTGAGAACAGAGCGGGCTCTCTAAACCACTCACGCCCAAAGGGCTGGTGGGATTTGGAGGGAGGGTGTATTGCAACCCCGCCTCTTCCTCCTCCTCCTTCTCATCCTCCCCCTCCCTCTGCTCCCCCTCCATCTCCCATTTTCCCCCGTCCTCCCCCTCCTCCCCCCCTCCCCCCCGTGTCCCCCTCCTCCCCTTTCCCTCTTTCTCCCGCTCTCCCCCTTCCTCCCCGTCCTCCTCCCTCTCCCCTTCCCTTCGCTTCCATTCCCTTCCTCTTCCTCTTCCTCCTCCGCCTCCACCTCCCCTCCCCCTCCCCCTCCCCCTTCCCCTTCCTCTCCCCCCCCTCCCGCGCCTCCTGCCCGCCGCCGCCGCCGCCGCCGCTGCCGCCCCCTCGCCCTCCCCACCGCCGCCGCCCCCGCCCCCGCCCCGGCTTGGCCTGCAGGACGCCACGGCCGCCGGCGGCGCCGCGCGGCACGTGGCCGACACGGACGGGGGGGGGGAGGATGGACACAAAAGTCCGAGGTTCGAGGTCCGGGGTTTTCGTCCGAAAGTTCCGAGGTTTTCGTCCGAAAGTTCCGAACATCCGGAAGTTCCGAGGATGGACAACGAAGTCCGAGGTTCGAGGTCCGAAGGTGGGACCGAGGTTCGAGGTTTCCGAAGTTTCCGAAGATCTTCGTGCGCTCTCGTCGGCTCTCGGAGGTTTCCCGGCCTCGGGGTGCCTTCCAGCGGCTGCGGCTCGCCGGGGGCGTCCCGCGGGTTCTCGGATCGTCCCGAACGGCCGCGGGAGACTCGAGTCGCGACCCGAAAGCCTGTCGACGAGGATCGCTCAGGGGCAACGCCAGGGGGGGATAGGCCCAGCGAAACGCCCATGAATCGCCGATGGGGGCCCGATCGCCCACCCCGCCCAGGAACGTACAGTTTCGCAATTCCTGCTGTTCCCGCTCAGGCGAGAAGGGGGAAGGCACGTGCTGTACAATGCAATCCGGTTGCGCGGTCCAGACTGCAGTCAACCATGCTAGTAAGGATGGGGCAACTTTCCAAGGCTGCCCCTGCATCCTTGCCCCTTCCGGTATTCGGCATCCTTCGGCATTCTGCTGCGCTCCGCACGGAAGACGTCAACAGGGCGTTCCACGGCCCTTGCCATCCTTGCTGCGCGTCCTTACTGTCGAATGCAGTCGCGGTGCAAGACGTGCGCGGAGTGCTGCACGCACTGCGCGTCTCTGCTCTTGGCGCTTTGCGTGTCCCCCACCAGCCCACCCGGCGATCCGAGTGCCGCTCACGTCTCCCGCTCGTGAACGTGTAGTGGCCCTGCTGGGCTTACGTCGGGCGTGTCCCTCTACAGGAGGGATGTCCAAAAATAGTCCAAAAATATTCGGGGGACGACTTTTATGTTCAGACTTCTTCTTAAACCATATATTTGTTCGTCCACAATCCCCCTGTAGGGGGACATGCCCGACCTAATGCTAGGTGCGGGCGCGCCGCCCACACCTAATGGCAGTGCAATTTCTACCCATCCAGCCTTCGCGGCCTCGTTCGATACGAGAAGTGATCCCATCTGGTTGTGTGCAGCTGAGCGTGCAAAGTCTGGAACATACAGCACGAGGATGCTCAAGTGACCCGTCTTCTATTCCTCCTTCGCTACCTGCTCCTTCTTGAATCGTCAACTGCTTCACCACCATCCAAGTCTTCATCCTCCTCCAGTGCTCGTGCTCACGGTTCGTGATTCCTCTTCGTCCACCTCCTCAATTTCCCGCGCATCCTCTTCGCTCTTGTCTCCCATATGCCGCCCGTGTGTCTGGAGTTCGTCGTGGGGGGGGCAGACTTCTGGACGCGTGAGTGGCTTGCTTTTCTCTGATCTGGTCAGTGCTGACCTTTTCTTCCTACCTCTGGCCCAGCCTGTCCGCGATTGCTTTCGCCTGTCCGCCTTGCCAGGTGTTGTATGATACAGTGTAGCATGTGTGTGATATCATGTGTGCTCCTCTGCGACCTGGTGTTGATAGGACAAGCGAGGTGGAGAGGAATGGGAGGAGCGGGCGAAAGAGCCGGGCCTGAGCGCAGGCAGCGTGGCATCATCATTGAGAGGCTCTTGCCAGTCTCTTGGGGCCCTTCTCGGCCGTCGTCCTTGCGGCCTCTGACGCAGTTTTGGGGGGCCTCGCGGGGATGTGCACTCCCCGTGGGGGCTTCTGCGGCGTGTTGGGAGTCGTCTCCCGGGAGCCTGTTGGGTCCTTGTTCGCTCTCGGGTGCCTTCTGGTGATGCGTTTTTTTGTATGCGCATCTGCGGAGCCATTGAGTAGCATCCGATGGGTTCTCTTGGTGGCTTCTTGGATGTCTCCTCACGTCTCAAGGGCCTCCTAGGCCGTCCTGGAACTTCTTCGGGGCCACTCAGGCTGTCGAGGCGGCCTCTGGGGCTTCTGGGCCGTCTTAGGGGCCTCGCTGACCGTGTGAAGTGTCTCCAAGACGCCTCTTGGGGGCCTCTTGGGCGCTTCTTGGGAGCCTCTCGGGCGGCTACTTCGGGGGCCTCTTCGGGGCCTCTCGGGGGCCTCTGGTAGGCGTTTCGCGGGCCTGACGGGCGCGTGCTTGGGGCGTTTTGGGACGTCTTGGTAGCCTTGTGGGAGTGCGAAGCACTTGGTGGCGGAAAGCCTTGCTCATGGGGTCCTCTTGGATACCGAGGAGGGCAACACAAACATTGTGTCTTACCACTGTGCTTGCACATCGGCGTCTCCAGTTTTCTAGGCAAACAAGTTGGCATCTTAATGTCCGCCGAAATGGGGGTCTTGGGAGGGATCATGGGGGGCGTTACCAGCAGGGCACGGGACACACACACACACACATACATAAGCATGCGTGCTATATGGCAGACTGATCTTACCATCATTGCTATCACTCATTGTGGTAGTGGTTGTATCCCATGGCGTGCTGTAGAGTCGTGCTGTTTCTGGTGATTAAGTTGTTGTTTTCGTACTGGGAACAGGGGTGCCATGTACTAGTGCAACTTATGATTTTAGTGCATACTGGCTGCTCAGATATGCGAGGAACACTCTGTACATCAAGCAGGAACTGGGACGCCTGTGGCAAATCAGCGTCTAAGGGAACCTTAGCATCCAATATCGGCGGTTCAAGCCCATCAATTTTCAATCTCTTCCCGGAGATTCAAGGGTTGCAGAGATGGGCTTGGGGCACATCCGTAGGCCACCTGCAGCCTAGTCGGCTGATGCGACTGTATGTCGTGTGCTATGCCATGGCAACGTGCACGCGAATTGTACTGCGGGCTGCAAGTTGTATCATGTATGTCAACGCTCGGATGCGTTGGGCTTTGTTTAGTCAGCGCGCTGTGCTCATTACTTCCTGAGACACTCTTACTGCTCGTCCATTAGCTTGCGCGTTAGTACCACGTACTATATAGGAGACTCCAGGGGCCCTGCCTTCGAGGGGCCGAGAAGTTGACATTTCACCCTTGGCGGGGGCCAGCGGGAAGTTCACGGAAGCTGTCGAACGCCGGCGGAACGTGGGCGGAAGCTGGTGGAACTGGCAGTTGATCCCCGACGCCGGAGTGCCCAGTTTTGCCGCCACCACAAGTGTATGTGGTGTTGTCAATCTGGTACGTTGGCGCTGTATGCTCGCCGTCCACGTGCCCGCGCTCAGCATCTTGCACACCAGCAGCTGTTCCCTGCGCCCTCGTCGTTTAGCTGTAGTCACGCTTACGCAATCATTCGATCATGCGTTGTGCATGATCTATCTGTGTGTCTGTCTGTCTGTCTGCCTGCCTGCCTGCCTGCCTGCCTGCCTGCCTGCCTGTCTGTCTGTCTGTCTGTCTGTCTGTCCGTCTGTGTGTCTGTCTGTCTGTCTGTCTGTCTGTCTGTCTGTCTGTCTGTCTGTCTGTCGGTCTGTCTGTCTGTCTGTCTGTCTGTCTGTCTGTCTGTCTGTCCTGTCTGTCTGTCTGTCTGTCTGTCTGTCTGTCTGTCTCTCTCTCTCTCTCTCTGTCTCTGTACATCTATATATATATATGTATGTATGTATATATATATATATATATATCTAGAAAACTTATATCTAGATATATATATATATATATCGAACTCATTTTTTGTATTACGTGCATAATATCTGGTGTCGCCAGGAGTCATAGAGTTCCCACCGTAAGAAGTATTGGTAGGTTATCCGCAAACGCGTGCCGCAATCTCTTAAATCAGGAGGACCTCGCTTGTGCGAGGGCTATTCGTAGTCCAGGTGCCCTTAGGGGCCTTTCCTGTCAGGTCGCGTGGAAGAGTGTCATTCTCCATCCCGTGCACAGCATATGGCATGGTCTTTGGCGCGCTTGCGACGTCCCAGTGTTTACTTAAACCCGTACGGCTAAGCGATGTTCACCTTCATGCCCAGACAGCGACGAAGTTTTGAAGAAGAAGAGTCTCCCCCTCCGAGGATCTAGTCACCTCGCCTCTCTGAGAGGCGAGGTGACTAGATCTTCGGAGGGGGACGATTGTGGGGAAGGCGCTGTACGACATCATCGGGGTGCCGTCGTCTGCGTCGGACGCGGAAATCAAGCGGGCGTATTACAAGGTGCTCGCAATTAGTCTGTGGCTTTGCGGACCCCCCTGTTGCCCATTTCGCCTTTTCTTCCTTTTGTTGATTCAATGCAGGCCTCCTTTTCGTTATCATCTCGCTCTTTACATTAGTCTTCGTGTTGCCCTTCTCATTGTCGTCATTGGGTTGCTGCTTATGCTACTGCTACTCCTGCTGGTCTTCTGTGTCTGTTTCTTCTGCAGCTGCTGCTGCCGCCACCGCTACCGTCCTCACTGCGACCCCTCCTCCCGGTCATGCCTCCGCGATTCAATAGTGCTTTTGCAGAGCAGGCTTTGCAATTGTTTCTGCAGGTGCAAGCTCGGAGCTCGTGCCAACATCGCGGAAGTATCCCGCTGCCTGCGGCAAGCTCCGCTGCCTGCGCAGCATCGACAAGGTTTTCATGGGTACCACCCGAGCATACTTACTCTTGAGTCGGGCGTGTCCCTCTACAGGGGGAATATTCAAAAATAGTCAAACAAGGGTCTTGGGATTATTTTTGGAGTATGTTTTGACCATTTCGGGGTATTTTTTGAGTATTTTTAGTTTTCGTCGAAAATCCCCCTGTAGGGGGACATGCCCGACCCAAACTTCTACCATGTGTGCGTCGGCTCCCCATGGGGCGACGCGTGCGCTCAGACAAATCTGGCAGCACACGCTCTGAGGCGGGCGCCTTCTGGCCACACCGCCTGGGCCTCGATGCGCTGCGGGATGTCTGCGCCATGTGTGTGTGTGTTCTGTTCGGGCGTGCGCCTCGACGGGGGGCGCAGAGTGCCAGCATGCCCTTCCGCGTCCCAGCTCCGGGTGATGCTGCCGAGGTTTCGGGGCAGTCTCGGCGGAGTCCTTGCGGCCACGTCCAGGAGGCGGCCCACGGATGCTGTCGCTGGGCGCGCAGCTCTGGAGCGTCGTTGCAGGGCCGCTGCTGTGGGTTTGGGTGATTCCTTGGAGGCTTCTCGGGGACTTCTTTGGGGGGTTCTCGGGGGCCTCTTGGGGTCCTCTTGGGATCCTCTTGGGGGCCTGCCGAGGGTCTCGGGGCCATCTTGGGCGCGATGGTTCTCCCAAGCTCTCGCGACGATGCTCGGTTGGGCCATCTCGAGGGCCCGTCTTGGCGGCTATTGGGGTCGTCTTGGAGTCATCCTGGGCCGCCTTGGTGGACCCTTGGGGATTTCTGGAGCTTTACCGGACGGATCTCCATCCGAGAAGCCTCCGGAGGCAGAGCGTCTGCTTGTTTTGTTTACGGTTTTGGGCCTCCTAGGGCTTCGCCAGAAGCATCTTTGGGCGCTGTTCGGTGTCTTCTGGGAGCCTCGATGAGGCTTCGTTGGGCCGTCTTTGGGCTGGTCTTGTGGCGTCGTTGGAGTCTTGTAACATGGGGCGTCGTTGGGCCGTCTTGGGCTGGTCTTGGGGCACGCTGCAGACATCTTTGGGCGGCCTTTGGCCGTCTTGGGGACAACTCGACGCCGAAAACAGCGACGGAGAGCAAGACCAGGGGGGCGATTTTCAGGGAAGGGTTGTCCCGAGGTCTAGGGGTCGCCCTGCAGAACTACTAAAGCCTTGCCAGACAGCCAAGAGGCACCATAACACGCCCAAGAGTGCCGAGGGCACGGCGGCCGATTTTCGCAGCCCTTGTGTGGTCCCAGTTGGCCTTGTTTTTGTGCAGCTTCGGCGTGAGGCCAGTGGTATCTGCAAACGATCGTCGGGTAGTAGGCTTCCGCAGCTGAAACAGACAGAAGAACTCCCAGCGAACCCCGCTCTTGAACGACCGAGCTGGATCAGCGTGCTTGCTACCTCGCGCTCGCGATTGTCCACGTTGACCTTCATGAGGAATCTGGCCGGAGTAGTCACGTGTGCAAGTGCACGCATGTGCAGAATATCTTCAGTACCTCGGACACGCGTTCGTCGAAGGACTGGGCCGTTCGGTGAAACCGCATCACGAAGACACGTGCGGTGTCCTCCGCGTCTTGAGCGAGGTGCTGGAGTAATGCTGCCCGTGCTCGATTTGGTGTTATCGTCGTTGTGTGGACTCAGTGGGAGAATGTTCGCGAGTGGGCCACTTTAGGTTCCTCACCTGGCCCATCGTATATGGTCTTCGCCCTCTCACTACTTTATCTTCCTTTCTGCCCGTCTTCCGGCTGCGGCTGCTCTAAGATAGGTCCCTGAGGCCCTTTTGGAGCCATCTTGGGCCATCTTGGACACTCTAACCCCTGGCGGGGCGCCCCGTCCAGAGCCAGGGGAGAGAGCAGGGGAAGGAGGGATTTTAGGCAGAGAGAAGACAAAACTCGTTAACCACCTACGCCCAGAGGGCTGGTGGGATTTGCGGAAGTATTCCAATCATCTAGAGGACTTGCTCTGAGCTATGCGTGTTGGGCGTGCGAGCGCGGGGGTGCGGTCGAGAATCTGACGTTTCGTGAGTCCTAGAGCTAGGAGGCTGTCGATATTCTATTTTTGGTAATTGTGCGACCACGCGGGTGATGCAGTCCAAGCGCCGGCGAAATTCTGCCTCAATTTCATTGAAACCCAAGCAGACTAACGATCGCCAATCCTAAACGTCTGGCGACTTAAAAGGAATACTGGCGGCCTGTTTCGGGCCTCTGGAAACCAGATTCGGGCCCCGGCACCGTCAACGAACGACCCGGGATGACAAGTTAGTCTAAGGGACATCCTTTTTGGCGGCCCACTGCTCAGAGCGATACCGCAGGCGTGGTGGCACTTGGGCACCCCAAGGGGGAGCCGCCAGGGTTGGGGAAATTCCAATCGTCGCTTCCAGCAGGCGGTTTGCCTGTTTCGGCCCCCCAGGCTTGCCTATGGACTTGTGTTGCTTAGACGTCTCTGGACCTCACTCACTCACTCACCTCCCCTTCTTCCTCGCTCAGACGCACACACATTCAGCCTTACTCACCAACACCGTTTCCTCACCCAAACAAACTTCCCACACTCAGACCCAAGCGTACTCATTCTGATTCATATTCAGACTCACTCAATATTAGGTTCACTCACATTCACATTCGCTCACATCCAGACTCGCTCACACTCAGACGAACTCACCTTCACAACTACACGCGCTCAGATTCACCCACCATCATATTCACTTATAGTCAGACTCACTTGTACTCAGGCTCATTCAGATTTAGGCCCATACTCATCATGCCCATATTCAGACTCACTCAAGCTCAGACTTTTCCACTCTCAGATGTACTCGTACTCGACTCACCCATGTCAGACTCACTCATTCTCTGACTCACGCGTGCAGACCCATTCATACTCATACTCGTACTTATCGCACTCATGCTCAGACTCACCCACACTCAGACTTACTGACACTCATATTTTCTCGCAGTCAGAGTCGCTCACACTCAGACTCGCTCATACTCTGACTCCCTCGTACTCAGACTCTCTCAGACCAGACTCACCCGCACCCAAGCTCAACCATACCAGGACTCGAATTCAGACTCAGTCACGCAGATCAGCTACACTCAGATTCACTCAGTCTTTTCGCTTTTGGTGGTCCAATGCTCCCTCGCTCTTCCACCAGTGCCTCCTTCATCTCTCCTGACATATGCCCAGCCAGAGGAGGAGGAGGTCGACACTGAAGTCGTCGCTGTCGTCGTCGTCGTCGTCGTTGACGCGCCCGTCGTCTGCGCGGACTTGCTCTCTCAGCCAGGAGCTCACAGACAGCTCCTCTGCGAGACGTCACAGGAGGTTGAGATGCACATTGGGGATTTTCGCGTCGAACAATTCAGAAGTTGCCGTCCTTTGTGCACTGCCTTGAACGCATTGGCTGAAGCCGTTTTGGCCGAGAGCCGCCCGGGCAAACCGTGGCCTCTGCAGCGCGCGGCCTGCACGGCCCCGTTCACGGCCGGTGCCCCTGGAACCCGCTGCCGCTCAGGCCGGCGGACAGCCGCGGGGCGGCCTGTGTGCGAGCGCGCACCGCGTGCACCTGCGCTCGGACTGGATGGCCAGCCACAGGCCGTTGAGCTGGAGCGTCGGCGTGGACAGCTTCACGCGCGCCCTCGCCGAGGACTTCGACGGCAGCTCCGGCCACGACTCCGTGTCGTGGAAGCTCCCGCGGATGCAGGGCAGCGTCCCAGAGGACTTTGGGGTGGGGGTCATCTTCGGCCCCACCAGCAGCGGTAAGTCGGCTTGGTGCCGCGAGCTCTTCCCTGATGCCGTGCGGGAGGAGCCCGAGTTCGACCCGGCCGCAGCGGTGTGCAGTCATCCTGGTTTCGAAGGCAACCCGTTGGACCGGCTAAGCAGCGTGGGTCTCAACAGGATTTGGTCGTGGCTTCGCCCAGCTCGGGCGCTGTCCAACGGCGAACGGAGCCGCGTGCTGACGGCCCTTTCTGTGAAGTCGGCATCCCCTCCGTCGGCATGCGTGCTAGAAGATTTCTGCGCGGACACGGACGAGCTCACCGCCGAGTCGACCGCGACGTCCCTGGCGCGCCTGGTGAAGCGCGACGGGATTCGGCGCCTCGTCGTCGTCACGACGAAGAAAGGCGTGCTCGCGCACCTGGCGCCGGACTGGGTGCTCTTCGCGGCCAGCGGCAGGGTGTGCACCAACCCGTTGCCGCCGGACGAGCGCAGGGCCCGAGTTGACATCAGCTGGGATGCGCTGAGGAGCTTTCCTGAGGAGGATGGCACGAAGGCTGTGATCGCTGGCGAGATCGACCGCGGGACGCCCGAGGGGCAGGCCGCCTCTGGCCCTCGCCGCGAAAAGGTTCGCCTCGCCGCTGGCGCGGACCGTATTGCGACCTGGGGAAGGACTGCGGACACTCGGCGGCTGACGGTCGAAGTGGCGACGGACGAGGTGACTGCGAAAGTGGCCGAGGCCATGGAGGTCGAGTTCGAGGGCCGGACAACCACTGAGCTGCACGACTTCTCCTCCGCCCGCGACCCAGGTGCGTTGGTGACGGCGATCGTGGGCCCCAGTGGCACCGGGAAGAGCAGTGAGCTCCGTCGGTGCACGGACGGGGCGGCGCTGGCGCCGCTCAAGTGGGACCCGGCGCTGGCGGTGGTCTCCCACTTCGGCAGTGAGGGGTGCACGCCGCAGGAGGCCGCGGGGCTGCTGGCGGCCGCGGCGCTGCCGCCGCGAGCCGCGCTGCGGCCGTGGCACGTGCTGTCCTCCGGCGAGCAGGCGCGGGCCGAGATCGCCCGCCGCTTGGCCAGGGGCGAGCCCGTGGACGAGTTCTGCTCGGGCCTGGACGCTCGCACGACTGAGAAGGTCTGCCGCGGGGTTGCCAAGTACGTGCGCGAGACACGCCGCACATTGGTCGTGGCCACGGTCAACGAGGCTGTCGTGCAGTGGCTGTGGCCAGACGTGGTCCTCTTCAGCGACTCCGGCGAGACGGTCCGCTTCGATGGCCCCGAGCCGACGGCGTCCCAGGTGGCGGCGGCCGCCGCCGCCGCCGCCGCTGCGGTGGGGGGCCGCTCGCTCGCGCGGCACGGCTCTCAGGCGGATGGCGCTGACGAGCGCCAGCTCGAGGAGCTGCTTCGTCCCAGGCCGTGGAAGCTCGCGGCGGCCCCGCTGAGCCGGGAGGGCGCGCGCCTCTGGTGGCAGGAGACCTTCCACGCCCACCATTACTTGACGGGCAACCTGAGCAAAAACGTTCAAGCGGTCCTGATTAGGGACACCCTCACGGGCAACCCTGTGGCCTTCGAGTCCTTCATCTTGCTTTGTGGGAAATATACCCAGGACATCACGTACCTGGAGCACCGGCTTGTGGTTCTTCCGAGCTACCAGGGCCTAGGCTTAGGCCCAAAACTCAGCGAGGGCATTGGCCATTTCCTGGTTGCCAACAATCGGGTATTTCGCGGGGCCACTGCTCACCCACGACTCGTTGCCGCCAGGAAGGCACGAAGTGATTTGTGGGCCGAATTGCCGGACAGCGGCAAGCTGATGAAGCAGAGTGACTGGAAGGGGGGCGACAAAGGGGGTAAGATGCGGAGGGTGTGGAAGTTCATGTTCCTCGGCGGCGCTGGCGGGAACCAGCACCTGCTGGACCAGAAACGGGGGCAGAAGGAGAAGGCCGACAGTGATGCCGCCGCGGCGGTGCCCGCGGTCGTGCCCCGCGAGGGCACCTCCGAGGAGGGCGAGGAGTTGCCCACGCCCTCGCCCAAGAGGCACGCGCAGGAGCGCTCGCCGGAGACGGCAGAGAAGGCCACCGGATGCCGTGGACGCTCGGGCCCCCGCCCTGGGTGCGCCCGGTATGTCACCCCCCGGCTGACCAAGCTGTACGGCGCCACGGCTGGGTGCCCCAGGTGCGACGGGTCCACCAAGAGCGGCCACACCGCCGCGTGCAGGCAGCGCATCAGGTGCCTGGTGGAGAGGGCTCCCGAGCCCGCGGTGGCTGCGGAGCCCGCGGAGGCCGCCCGGCGCACGAACGTCACAACCCGGCTGACCAGGCTGTACGGCACCACGGCCGGGTGCCCCAGGTGCGAGGGGTCCAGCACCGGCTGCCACACTCCAGGGTGCAGGGAGCGCATCAAGAGCCTCATGGAGGCCAGTGAGGCCGTAGAGCCTCCCGCGCCGGCGAGCGCCGGTGCCAGCAGCGACGGGACCATGGAGGTGGACACCAGCAGCCTCCTCGACAGGGCGCTGAAGCGCCGTCGCACCCACTCGGACGACTTCATTCCGCCTGTTTCACTGTAGCGCCCGCCCCCGGACCGTTTTGGAAAGAACGCCGGAGGAGGCATTTCAAGACCGGCTGGGGAGAGCTGAGTGCCCGGTCGCACGATTGTCCCGCCTGGGAGGACGAGCGGCGGCGGGTTTGAACGCCGTGGGCCGCCCGGGCGTGCGAATGGCCAGGGGGAGCAATCGCGGGCGGTGAGGCTGCGTTGCGGGCAGGCGCCCCCTGGTCGAGCCATTTTTTTTTTTTTTTTTTTTTTTCTGTGTTCGTTCCCGCCTGGCGGCGCGGTGGCGATGTTGAGCGCCGTGCCGCCCGATTATCGGGATGCCTGGCAGTGCGGGTCTTCCTGCCCCAGCTCTGCCGATCTCCCCCTTGGTCTTTCCTCTACTGTGAACCTCCCTCCCCCCCTCCCCCTCCCTCCGTCTGGGCCCCCGCCCCCCAGAGCCGGAAGCAGACCGAGCGGGGATGCCGCTCGCAGGGCGCCGCCGGCGGTGCGCTGTGGCACCGCCAGGGCGGGGGCCGTGCGCGAACCACGCCGGGGGCGCGGCCGTGCAGCGCGGGGGCTCTGCGCGCGGCCTGCGCCCGGGAGTGCGTGGTCTGGGAGCGCACGCCCGGACAGCGGACGGCTCCTTCAGCAGCCGTCCGGGGATGGAGAGAAAGAAGCAGCACGACCTTGAAAGCATCGGCCTATGCTGTTCCAGCCTACTGTAGCCTGGATCACCAGAAGGAACTTCGAGCACCAGAAAGAAGTGCCGAAGCTCGAGGGTTCTCACGTGTCGGGCCCTGGGAGACACTCGTCCTCGACACTGTTTCGACACTGCTTTGACACTTTTCCCGGTGCTCCAAATTATTTCTGGGATGTGGTCCTTAAGTACGATGGGGGCAACATAAGCATTGGCTATATTGAGCCCCGAACCCATATTCAGAATGAACTTTCACATCGGCGGTCCAGTGTGAGAGGAGCGGGCTCCGCGGTGCCTTCGCGCATGGGGATGGCGTGCAGCGGGGGTCTTCCGCGGGCTCCCCCTTGCCTTGGCAGCGACGCCAGTTCCTCATCCTCTTGCCCAGGCCGCACAGCCCAGACCCCCGCCGTCATGATTCTTTCGCAACGTCGACCCCTGGGGGTCTCGACCCATTCCCCAATATAATTTTTTGTTGCAAGGTACAAGAATAATCCTTATGTGGCGGATTATAACCCTATTCTTCTGTGACGGATTACAGAACATTTGGAATAGTTTTTTGACGGTCCTGGTGCCCGGCGAGGGCCCCCGGAAGAAGATCATTGGGGGCTCCCAAACGGTGTGGCGACCACACCGCGTGGTGAGTCAGTGGGGACACGGGGTCACCGCACGGTTTTGCGGCTCGGGTCGTTCTCCGAGGGCGTCCAGGGTCCCAAAACCGTGTGGTGACGGACAGCGCGGTGAGATCTTTGGTCGTGGGCGAAAAACATACCCGTATCAGCGGCCTCGCGGGTCAGGCCTTTGGCCCGCGGATTCGGGGCGTTTTTTCGCGGATGCCCCGCGCGGAACGTGTCCGTGGGACCGCGTATCCGCAGGATCGCGCCCTGGAGTCCTGACCGCGAGGGCGTGGATATGGACGCGCTCGTCGCTTCCGAGGTCACCGCGCAGTCCGTCACCGTGCGGTTTTGAGACCCCCCCCTCCCAAAAAAGCGGCCCAAACGAAAGCCTCCTGCGGTGGTCCTGTCGCGGCGCGAGTGCGTGGTCTGGGCCAGCTCGCACCCCCACCCGCGCAGCGGCCGCCCGAGGCCGCCCTGAAGGTCCACCCGGATAAGAACCCGGGCGACCCCGAGGCACGAGCCCCTCCGCGCCTTCCCCGCCGTGTGGCCGGGCGGTGACGCGCGCAGGCGCCCAGGCCTCGCACGCGCTGCACAAGCCGATGCGGGCTCAGACGTGCCCGCGTCGTAAAACATCTGGACGTTTTTTGTTTGTTTGTTTGTTTTTTTGCCTTTTTCGGCCTCTGGGGGCCCTTGCCAGGCCCTTGGGCTGTTCAAGAGAACGCTTGGGACGAAACGCTGGCCCCTGGAAGGGGTTGGGGCTGGGCACGACGACGCCCGTGACCGCGGCGGCGCGCGAGCAGGCCTGCCTCCCCCTGGCAGACGGGGGGCTGGGCATGCACAGCCTCGGGGAGCGGCGCCTGCCAGCCTTCGTGGGCTCCTGGCTGGCCTGCCTGGCCGAGGGGGGCCGCGCATGGCAAGACGCACGGCGTGGCCGGGTGGTGAAGCGCTGTGCACTCCCGGCCTCGAACGCGCTGCACAGGCCGATGCGGAGGGCCGTCGCCGCTCCCGGCCACTGGCAGCGGGCCCCAGGGGCCGCCAGGAAGACGACTCGGGAAGGGGTCGGGACGTCCCCAGATCCGAGCTGGAGAGGTCCAGACCCCTTCCAGAGGCGTGGAAGGATGGCGACGTCCGAGATTTCCCGACGTCGTGATTTTTTTCCACGACGTCGATCCTGGGAGGTCTCTCGACCCACTTCTTGGGACTCGTTTCCCACCCCGACCCGTCTTTGGACGCTCCGGGGGGTCCGGGCGAGGGCCCGCAGAGGCCTAAAGTTTAGCAAGACGCCGCTCGCTGTGCTTCTTCCGCGGCGCGAGGGCCGTCAGGAACCGGTGGGTGAGCGCACCCTCCGTCCTCGAGCGAGGACGGGGGGTGCGCTCACCCGCCGTTTTTTCATGGGGTCTTACCCATCTGGGCCCAGCATTGTGGAAGTCGATTAACGGAGAGGAAGCATGCTGCCAAATAATTTCCACATGTCTAAAACATGTTTCAAGTATGTTTTAGACATGTTAAAACCGTTAAGTCGGGCCTGTCCCTCTACAGGGAGAATGTTCAAAAATAGTCCAAACATAGTCTGGGGACGTTTTTTCGACCATTTTTGGTCATTTTGGAGGTTTTTTGTCCCAAATCCCCCTGTATGGGGGACACGCCTGACTCAACCTAGCGAAAGGGGTCTGTGTCCCGGGGGCCCCGTCCTAGGGCACCAGGCCCCCTGGGGTGGGCCGCCGCGCACCCCCTCGCCCCGGGCGTCGGAGCACCGGCCCCTCTTTGACGCTGGAGGGCCCCGCAGGCCCAGCCAGACGCCGCGCGGCGTGCCTTTTCCCCAATCAGAGCTTGCCTCTGTAGGGGTCCCAGCGGATTCATATGGTTAGGTTAGGTTTGCCGCCGATTTTCGCCGCACGCCTGGGTGCCCGGGTGCCTGGGGGTGCCCGGGTGCCCGCGTGCCCAGGTGCCTGGGTGCCCAGGTGCCCGGGTGCCCAGGTGCCCGGTAGCTCTATATAGTCCTACAGCCCTGTAGCCCTGTAGCCCTATAGCCCTAACAGCCCTATAGCCTTATAGCCTTACAGCCCTATAGCCCTATAGCCCCATAGTCCAACAGCCCCATAACCCTATAGCCCAATAGCCCTATAGCCCTATGGCCCGATGGCCCTGTAGCCCTGTAGCCCTATAACCCCATGGCCTTCTAGCCCTATAGCATTATCGCCCCATAGCCCTAAAGCCTAATCATATTATGATAGGTGTTTTCTCTGGTATCATGAGATTCTATTTGACATCGAAGTCAAAAGGAATCCTTTTCAAATCGCTTGCAAAAGGAATCCTACTTAAACCGCTTACAAAAGGAATCCTATTTACATCTCCTGCAAAAGGAGTTCTATTGAAAGCCTGACAGGCGGCCGCCGTGGGAACGAAGAGAGCGAAAGAGAGAGAGAGAGAGAGAAAGAGAAAAGGGGAACGGCTGTGCTGCCCCTGCAGCCTGGACTGCAGGGCTGGGCCTAAACATTGTTTCGCTGGACTTCGGCTCTGTGATTTTCGTTTTTAGTTTTGGCAGGGAGGCAAAACGAACACAGGACGAGAAACGACATTCAGGGCCAGCCCTGCTTGACTGTCCTTCGCATGACTTGCGTGCGCAGTCGCCTCGGAGTTGCGACACCCAGCATGCCATGAACTTGCCGAGCCCTGGTGGGCAGGTTCGGCCTGCCACTCCCAGCTTGCTGCCCGCGTAAGCGTGTGCTCTGACACTCACACTCACGTGTGAGATCTTCACGGTCTACGCGTGCTCCGCTACCTGCGGCTTCTTCCCCCCATTCGCGCCTTGCCCTTCTCCTGTTGTGCCCAGATAGGCTCCGATGTGTCCCTCGGCTGTCCCGACCGCGTCTTGGACCCTAGAGTCGCCAGTGACAAACGAGTCTTCGAGATCCGACGCCGCAGAAAGAAATGCAGCACCACGCGACAAAATCACGACAGGAGCGCTCCAGACCCCAGCTTCCTGCGCGATTCTCCGAGCCGGACCGATCTGCAATGGCCCCGTGGGCCGCCCGAGACGCAGCGAAGTCGCCCAGTGTGGAAAGACTTCGGGAGGGACAAAAAACTTACAGAGACACAAGTCATCGCCGATTCCCCAGAAGGTATGGGGGAAGATGGGAAGCGGGGGGAAGGCAGAAACCCAGAAAGCACGGGAACCTGTGGGGGATCCGGCTCATTGTGTCTATCTATTTGTGTGTCCCCGGGCCCCTTCAAGATTGCCACGCCCGGATCTCAGGGGCGGCCCCCGCCCCGCCCGCTTCCGTGCGGGCGGCGCAGGCCACCTGCCAGGGGCGGGGGCCTCCGCCGCGCCCCGCCCCTACCCTTACGATGCTCCAACCTACTGCAGCCTTGACCACCAAAAAAAGAATTTCGTACACCAAGAAAGTACCGAAACTGGAGGGTTTTCACGTGTCGGGCCCTGGGAAGCGATACTCGTCCGACACTTCTTCGATACGTTTCTGGGTGCTCGACATCATTTCTGGGATGTGGTCCTTAAGTACGATGGGAGCAACATAACCCTATCCGCCCAGAGCGCGGTGGAGGGCGGCGGGTGCAGCAGCTCGAGGCCTGCGGCCTCGCTGCTCCTCCTGCCGGCCTCGTGCAAGAGGTGGCGCTCCGCCGGAGCGGCCTCTGGTGCGCGGCCCTCGCGGGGCGCAGGGGTGGTCCCGGACCCCCTCGAGTCGCAAGCAGCCTCGCGGCGGACAGTTCTGTTTGGTTGTACTTTTAGCCTTTTGGGGCCCTCGCCGGGCCCCAGGGCCGTTAACCAACGGTGCAGGAGAAATCAGCGATCTTGGGGAAAGTGTCCGGAGTTTTGTCGAAGCTCCCGGTGGTCTTTTGAGGACCCTCGGGGGGCGTATCGGGGGCTTCTCGGGGTCATGCTTGGGGTCTCGGCGGCAATCTTGTGGGTCTCTTCTTGCCGTCGTGGGGGGCCTCTTGGACCTTCTTGGGGCCCCTTCGGGGGCGTCTCTGGGCCCTATCGGGGGGCCGCTTCGGCTGCTTCGGCCAGTCTGGGGGGCCTTTCGCGCCGTGCTGGATTTGCAGACGCCCGAAAAAGCGAGAACGCGAGCATCGTCTCAAACCCTAAGCAGAACAAATGATTTGTGCCTCTTGGGGTCCTCTTGGGGGTCCTCTTGAGGGCCCCTTTCGGCGTCTTGGGCCGTCTTGAGGCCATCTTGAGTACATTTGAGGCCATCTGAATGTGTTGGTGCCCTTCTTGCGCCGGCTTGGACAGCATCTTCGAGACGACGGATGCTGGATGTGGAGGCTCCAGAGGCCCTGGCGGTGCGTTGAGGTGCTCGGCCCCCCCCTCCCCACACTCGATGTTGGACCCAAGGGGAGGGGGAAAGGGGGAAGGGGGAGGGGGATCGCCAACCATATCACACGCCTGTCCACCCCTGGCAAGCAGGGGTCGGCGGATTCTTCATATTATTATTTGTCCTACTGGTCCACTTCTTCTGTTTCGTATTAGTAGTATTATTATTATTATTATTGTTATTCTTATTATTATTATTGTTGTTGTTGCTGCTGCTGCTGTTGTTGCTGTTGTAGTTGTTGAATTCTCGTTTCTGAAGAATAATTATTGTTGATCACACCCCACCGGTGCATACTGTTTTTTCTCAATCAAAGTGTGCCCCTCGACGCTCGCACCTGGTTTTTTGACAAGGAAAGTCTTCCTGCTCAAACTGGCCCCCTGGCCCCCGGGTTACAACAACAACGGCTCCCGCCTGAGACTTCCTTATAATTTAGCCAGGACCCCCGCTCCCGCCCGAGACTTCCTCGCATTTTTTTCAGGAATCGCGCTCTCGCTTGGGACTTCCTTACAACTTATTCAGGAATACCTCTCCCGGCGCTCTGGAGTCGCGCTCTCGCTGGAGACTTGCTTGCAACTTACTGAAGAATGGCCTTGCGTTGGAATTTCTTGCAATTTGCCCAAGCGCCGCGCTCCCGACACCCAGGCACCCAAGAGTCGCGCCCGTTGTGGCCCCATGTGCATGCCCTTCGTAGCCCCGCTGTCGCCATTTGTGTCCCCCTCACTGTCCTACGTGGCCCAGTTGCTACCCTCAGTGGCCCCATAGTTGCTTTCTGTGACCCCACATTATCTACACTTCGTGGCCCCCGCTCGTTCGCGCTCTTCGTGGCCCCATACGCATTCCCTTCGTGTCCCCGCTGTCGCCCTTCGTGGCCTACTTCGTGCCCTTCGTGGCCCTACTGTCGTTCTCTCTCGCTCTCGCTTTCGCTCGTCGTCGCCGTCGTCGTCGTCGTCGTCGCCGTCGTCTTCGACGTCGTCGTCGTCGTCGTCGTCGTTGTCGTCGTCGTCGTCGTCGTGATCGGTCCCCTGTCCGTCCCTTTTGGGGTCGGGTCGACGGTCCGCGGCCGCCCCGCCGATCAGCGCTGCCGCTGGCCAAGCCGACGGTCCGCGGCCGGCCCGCCGCTTGCCGGGGCCCGACCTGCAGGGAAGAAAGGTATACCTCCCAAAAGGGGTTCGATCGAAGACGAAGAGGGCGGGTATCGAGGGTTTGGGAAATACGTGTTATTGG